GGCTGCTGGGTCCGCGCCCGAGGTGGCTCGTGTGCCTCATCATTTAATCCTCTTTGAAACCCATATGGGACAGAGGACTCTGATTCTTGCTTTAAATTGTATATTTGTTTTGAAGGGAAGGCTCGTCCTCCTTGTACATACATCTGAGCGTAATTTTAAACAATCACTCGTAGAGAGTGTATGGAGGCTACATAAATCTCCTTGTAAACGCTTTCACTGATGTGTGTAGTGGGTATGTTGGTGCAGGATCTATGTCCTTATTGAGGGATAAGTAAGACATGAGTGTGTAACTCAGGTGATTTCCTAATAAGTACTAGAATAAGTCTTTCAGAATAAATCTGTGTGATTAGTTTAACAATAGGGTATTCTGTTGTTAAACTAATATTTTAAGTCCGTACTAGTATTTAAGCATCTGAAGTCTACTCTTCATGGTTCTTTATTCTCACTCATACTCCTTAAGCAGGCTCTTTCCCCTCCATGAGAGTTTTCAAGGATAGTCTATAAATTCTTTATCTGTGACTTAAAGGGAGCAAAGGCAGAAGTAACAAGAAGATGTAACAACCAGTGAGTTTGATGCAGTGGTTTGCCCTGTGGGAAGTGCTATGGGTTGGTTGTTACTTTCAAGAGTAATTTTTGAGAACATTGTAGTTTTGACTGGTTATGGCAGCAATATGGAAAGTTGCCATATTTTGTTGTCAGGATGGAAAGCCACAGGAGCAGTGGTGATCCATGCAGTTGTTTGCAGTGACATTGCTGGTGGAGCAGCTACATCAGAGCCTGGTAGAATGTGCTTTTTGTGGCACTGGCACTGATGATGGGCAGGTCAGTAACTGCAGGTGGTCAGGCAAAGATAAGTGCTGATAGATCAGTCATTCTATTAATATAACCCCCAATGCATTGCTTCCATTGCTCTTGTCCCAGTGACAATGATGTAGTAAGGAAGTGCAACTGGTGGGATTGCAAATCCTCATTGGAATGCTGCTGCTGTTATTATATTCAGTTTATGCATGCTGTTTTAAGTAAAAATCATTGTGAATGGGTTGAGAAAGGTTGGAAGAGAACCTCTTGGTATCTAGGTGAATATCCCTGGACTTGTTGCAGTCATACTTCTAAATGCTTTTGAAACTCTTACAGCCTAATATTTGCTATTAGGCAGAGACAGATTGTCTTTGAATCTCTGGTTTTTCTCAGTGCCTCTCTCATGTTATTTTATTTCCTGGTGTTTCCCTCTGCTCTCACACTTGTGTTTTTTTACTTTTTCAGTAGGACTGTGTCTATTCAGCGTGTTTTACCTGTCCCAAGTACAAGGGGAAGATAGGAAAGTAACTTTCTCCCCCAAACCCATTTTTATCTGCCTTGCCTTTTGTCTAGGTAAGAAATAGTGGCTTATCTTTGAGTCTAATTGTTGGGAGACACAACAATATTTTCTGTCTTTATATCCTCACAGCAGGAATCATTCCATGTTTTATAGTGCTATTGCTAATAAGTTACATTTCTCTTACATCTTGTACAAAGGCGTTTGAGCTTTTTTGAGAGCTTTCCAAAGTAGAGATGATAGACAAAATTGGCTCACATTTGTCAGTCTCTGCTGTTTATCAAAGTAACATTATAAAACCAGATATATCCCAGTGGCATGGGAGGCACTCCCGCTGCCTGTCTCTGCATTTACTTTGTTCACATATGGCAAGATGTAGCCATCTGGATTACGAGGCTGTATGTGTTGAAAACAAAAATGTAGATTCTGCAGAAGGATGATAGCACACACTAGAAAATTAAAAATCCTGGAGAAGCAGATGCTTGTGGCCGTGATGAAAATTGATGTCTCAAGTAAGTGTAAGCAGACAAGAATTGTATACCAATGTTTCAAAGTACTGGAGTGCTTTTGCAAATGCATCAGGAAGGTGCAAAAAATCTGAAGAGACCTGTGTAGTCTGCCTGATGAAAAAACCTATATTAGCATAGAGCAAAACATAGTGCTGATTGGAGTAAAGCCATTTTTGGTGGCTGGCTACAGTAGAGCAGCTTGTGACGTGTTCATAGAATGACCTCTGCACTTACAGAATGTGTTTATTTGAGAGAAGATACTGCTTTAGGTAAAATAGTCACCTCTGATCAAAAAGAGGAAGAGATTGTTGTAATTAATATGGCAAGTAATTATATATCATAATATTAAGCATCAGCTGTTTGGTTTTTTTTTTTGTTGTTGTATATGCTAATAGAAGATAGTTAATCAGGATGAGTTATAGTGTTTGGCGTGAAACAAAAACAGGTTTCTCTCATTCTTTGTTTTACAACAACTTCATGCCTACTGAGAGAACAGATATGAATCTCAATACAGCATAATAAATTCGAGATTTGAGCTCTTGAGTCCTTGTTAATGGAATTTTCTGATATTGATGCTAAGAGTTTAAACTGTCCATGGTTTTTATTAAAGCTGTGTTAGGTCACATCAGTTAAGAAATTGATTGTTTTCTTTTTCTATAGAAACAGATAAAGGGTGCTCAAGATGCTGGGAATTGCATATTCTTCCCTTCAAGCATTTTTTTCTTTTGATGTTTTCAAATAGATCCTTATTTTATCTCATTGTTCTCAGCTAAAATTTGTCAATTTTGTCTTCTGTATAAAATTGGTCTTCTACTTGTTTACCTTAGCATCATTTTAACCAATCTACTTGATGGTTGATTCTGCCTGATTAACTTTCTTCTTTCCGTACCTCTAAATGCAGATGAGATTCTTTTTGTTCCACCTGCATAGTTGCTTGTTGTCTAGTGTATATTTTTGTCAGTCTGTTGACTTTTGTGATAGTGTAGCTCTACCTTTTTCCAGCTTGTGTTTTTGTTGAAATACTGGTCTTAATTCTTGCTCATTTCAGTGAGGTCTGGCAGTGATAAAAAAAGGGGAGTGTTTTTATCAGCTTGATTCCTGATAAAATAATGGGCTGTGTATGTGAGTGTTGGTGCCAGTGATGTGTGCTGGGATGTTGCAGGTGGTTTGACTGACAAAGCAGCATGAGATGTAAGTTTGCCCTCAGCTTCAGTAGCATTTTTCTGAGATATGTTGGTTTTTGAGCATTATGTTAACAGTTTCAATAACTTCTGCAGGCAAAATGACAGGGTCATTTATCTTGGATAAATACAGGTCTGTATTTATCCAAATGGGAAAAAAAAAAAAAGGCAGCCTGCTTGGAAACCTCACCTGAATTCAGCTCCTGGTATTTTGCTGTTTGTCTAAAAACTGAGGGTTGCCATCAAGTATCTAAATCTCTGTTGGTGTGAGAGGTGGGTGGGCTGTGGGTGAGCAGTGGGTGCTGTGGGCACTGTGAGCACCAGCTGTGGTGAGTACAGACAGAAGGAAAGGCCCACCCTGGGACCAGCAGTGAAGTGTTTTAGGTGATGCCTTTTCAGCATCATGATTTTGCCTTGCCATAGCTAATTCTGCCCCTCCTGTACATAAAACCACAGAAATGTTCAAGTACTGTTCTGGGCACAAAGACAAGAGGATGGTGGGGACAGCGAAGAGCACATAGAGCATCCTCCTGGTAATGTGGGAAGGAGGGCATGGGGTTGGCCTAAGAGGTGTTCGTGCACATACAGCCCTGGTGTGCATTTTTAAGGCTCTAGAAAAGCCTTAAAACAGTGAAGTACAGGATAAAGAAAAGTTGAGGCAGGTACTGTGAAAATGCCAGGAAGGTGCTTCTGACGACGCAGCTGACCATCCAATGCAGCAGTATGAGCAGTGGTTTCAGAATTAGTAACTCTTATGTGGAGCTTACTGGAGAGGGCAGGGACAGTGGATCCTCTCGCTTTTGTTCTTACCAAAACTAGGATCAGCTGGTTGGTTTAGTCAACTTTTGATTTATGACCTGTAGCTACATCAGACTAGTTCTGTGTCTTGGTTGTAGAACAAACTTCAGGTCAAGTCTGTTATAAAATTGGACTATAATTTTAAGAAGATAATCTGGTTTGTTTCAACCAATGGTAGGGTTCAATCTCTGAACATAGATGCATCTTGTAGTTGAGGAAAGAACTTCTTCATTCATTCTCTTTTACCAAAAGAAAAAAGATCAAGCTTTTAATTAGCTTTTCATCACATACAACTGAATCTTATTTTTCTTTACAAAGACAGATCACAGGGTACAGGCAGTTAAAACATTTAGATTGCACCTGTCTGGTTTACTTAACAGAAAAAAATATACTTATGATTAATATATTTGTATTTTTTTGCTAACCTCAGTTTCTTTTTTTTTGTAGGTAGGTGAATGGATCTTCAGAAGCAGAGTTGCTAAAACTGTCAGAGAAGTAAGTATGTGAGTGTTGTTATATTTTGCAAAAGTGTGTATCAGAATTAGTGCTACCTCTCTTTACAGTTTATTAATTCTTTTATGTTGATTCTTAGCATCTGTACTAATCAATAATTTTATATAGCCTCAAAGTCTATTTCCAGTAAAGTGTTTTTATTTTGTGCAAGTAGGTAACATTATGTATTTCTCCTTCTGAACGTGACCTGCTGTTACTTTTCTGTATTGACTGTTTTTAACAGCTAGAGCTACTACTGTGAAGGGAAGGTTTGAAACATATAATTCTAGCAGTTGCATATCTACTTTCAGTGTTGTATAGTAGATAATTTGTCACCTTTATAATCAGCAGAAAGGTTTGAACTCCTCAAGTCTGTGTTGTTTAGCACAACATGAGTAGAATCTCTTAGGACGATGGTTATTTCCACCTGTCTTTAATGGCTAACTCTGCTTCCAAAGTCCCTTTCCTCTGAAAAGAGGTATTTTTTTTGTTCTGCTGGCTCTCAGTTTAAAAAAGGAAGTATCTTCATGTGAAGAATGTATTCTATGCATGTAATCAAAATGTGGGGCTTTGTGCTAAGAAATTATGTGCTGCATTTTGATCTCTTTCCAGACAATTGAGTTGATGAAATAATTCCAAGTTATTATATTTTATTAAAAAGTAGAAATTATTTAATCTAGTAAGTAGATGTTGAATTACTTTTTTAAAAGTTCCAGTATTTTTAGCAGAACACTATTAAAATTGCTGTAAGGTATGTGTGTGCATTTGTCTGTACATCTAGTACTTGCAATATGCATATATTTCAATAGAGTGGTTTATAGTATCTCCAGTTCCTGTAATTTTACTGATTATACTGGACTAATTTCCAGTTCCATGTTCTTGCCCATACTGCAAGTTATTTTTGCTCCAAGTACATTACATACTTTCCATGTTTTAAAGGGCTAATAACAAAAAGTGTATGTACAGAACTTGTGCATAATACATTGTATTGGGAGAAATCCTGGAACCTTTATTTTTCTGCTCACTGTCCTTTTGTCTATTCATAATGGGTCTGGTTTTCACTAATTGTATTTTCATTGTCTTAAGTGGCCTATAGAAGAGATGAAATGTGGTCCGAAGGGCGATACGACTATGAAAGAGTTCCAAGAGAACGTCTCCCTCCAAGGATTCATGGTGATGTAAGTGTGCAGTCAGCATTGTGTCTGCAGCATTATAACGTTATACTGTACCTTTATACAATGACCTGTACCACAGGGGATGGATTTATGTACCTGTGTAAGTTCCAAGTATATCTCAAGTTCATTTTTCCCCCTGTTCTTTGAAGTCATCAATCTGGCACGTGCATCTGCACAGGAATAATAGGCTGCCTACTGAATTAAGTATTAGTTTCTTTTTTAAAATTTTCAAATCTGTTGGAACTGTTTTAGAATATTTGTATTTTGGTGTAATTCTTTGTGGTATTAAGCACAGGATTTTTAATAACTTCTGGGGAACAAGAGGCCATTCTGGGGAACAAGAGGCCATACTAATGTTATATTTTTCCATAGTCTTTTTGTGGAGGGATAGAATGTAAGAGAATAGTGCAGAAGGTGTCTCACACCTGAGGAGCTGCAGCTGCACCAATCACCAAAGATTAGGAACAGGCCTGTCCTTAACAGGCCACAGCTGTGTCCAGTAAGAAGATGAACGCTACAAAAGGGTTAGCTGGTTGAAGAGAGAGTTGGAGTTGGTTGATTGTGTTGTGAGGGGAGTTGGAGTTTGTTGGTTGTGCTGTGAGGAGCTGTACATGAGGAATCACCAAGAAGGTATGGGAGCTTCACAATAAGATGACAACTTTTTTTTTATGTCAATGTTTCTTTTAGGTAACTTGATGTGGTAAAGGAACTTCTTTCATGATTGTTTTTGTCACCAACAAAGTTTCTTTATAATGTTTTAAGTGTAGGGGAAGATGTTTTTAACAAGTGTTGAAAGTACACCTTTGCTGAAGTTGTGCTTTGGAGTCCTGTAAAGGAAGCACTTTACAAGAAGAATGGCAACAGAAATCTGCTTTGTAGATACAGAGTCTTTTGTGGTGTGTTATGTATGTATGTATGGTATGCTTGTAAAACCAAATGCAGAACCTGTGCTATAGAATAAGTTCAGAATGCTTTTAGGAATTCTCTGTTCCACAGAGTTGGGCCTTTTTTTTCCCTCCCTTGTCTGAAGTCTCCAATAAATAAATAAAACAGGTTGTAGCTTTGTCTTTGGAGGTATTACACCGTAAATAGAATTTTAAGAATACTTTCTGATATTTCTATTTGCATCCTGTGTAATGTGCTTTTGACAAAATTAAATTTCAGGTGCCAGTTTCTCTTATCTGACTTCCCTTTTACTTATGGCAAATGTTGAAATAATACCATAGCTGATTTAGTGCATCTTCTGGGTTCCCTTTGTTTTGTTTTCAGCTTGTCTATTTGGAGACTTTTGGTTACTCTATGTAACTAATTATATAAGCTTCTCTATTTTGTAGTGTATTAGTGGTTGTCTGTTCTGTGACATTTTTGTTACTGTGACAGGCAACAGTAACATTTTTCATTTTCAGCCAGCTGGAAATCACGTTGATTTCCACGGGGTGTTTAGCTACCTCTTTCTCCAAAATGCTTATCAAGAATAGGACAAGAGGAAAGGCAGAATGTATTTTCACACATGTTTTTTCAGTTGTTTGACTAATGCATGTCAAATTTAATTTAACCATTGCATCACTGACATTTCTAAATTCCCATAGTCTTTCAGGCTGTCCAGGGAGCAATGTGTGGTCAGGCATTATGAAAATTTATAGTCTAAAAGATTTGCATTTTGATGGAAGCGTTTACTAGGTAGTTCAATGCTAGCTTTATATTACATATGTTTGGAACTGGGGTTGAAGGCAGTAGCAGAGTACACTCATCACAATGAATATTACCCATCTGTACCAAAACAACACCCCCAGTAGCTGGGCTAACCAAGATATGTGTCTCTGCCATACTGAAAGATGGATATGGAGTTCCTTCTCATACAGCTCTGCAGATTCATGATAGTTGGAAGCTACTTTCTGTCCTTGTAAGCCTGTGCTATTGTATTTGTGTCCACATGTAGAAGTCTGACTTAATTTTGATTAGGCAAGTGAAATGGAATTAATTTGTTCAATCAGTTAATATGCTTAGTGTTTGCTGCTAGGTTAGTATGTTGGAAATAAGATGTGCCAATGATACAGACTGAAGTATCTTTTTTTTTTTTTGAAGAAATCCAGAGATGTGTCCTCATCTAAACTGAGTTCTAATTGTGTATCAAGTATAGATTGTAGTGGAAACACAGTTACCGTTAAAGAACGGGAAATTGCAAGCACTTGACATAATTGTGCAAGTAGGGTACTCATGGAGTTTTCATGTAGCTGTTCTTCTATGTGCCAGGATAGTTGTGTAGTGAGGTCTTCTGGGTGAGCTTAAAGCATGCAGCAGTTTTATTTAAGCTGCACAGCAGATCTTTGTAAGACACCAAGCTAAAAAAAATAATTACGTGTGGAGGATGTTCGATGAGGTAAGAGTAGATCAAACATTATGACTGTGTATATAATCTCCATTTTGCACCTGTATGGCTGGCTTTAAACTGCCCTCTAGTCTGTTTGTTGTGTTTGTTGGGTGCTCTCTGAAATCAGAACTAACTTTTTTTTTTGCATGACAATATTTAGCAGTTTGTGAATACAATGTATATTTCTGCAAAAACTATCAGAAACTATTAGATTATGACTTCTTACTGTTAAAATAGCTTGAGTGTCTTCCCCCTCCCCACCCCTACAAAATCCAAATTGCACATGCTAATTCAAGTGTCTGCATTAGTAGATTTTGTTTAAGGCCCATTAAAAAAACTTTTTGCTAAAGGAAGAAGATTTTAAATACAAAATCTTGCAGTCATGTTTTCATTTGCTTTTTATTTGCAGTTGACTTATATGAGACTTAGTTCTAGTAAGATTGAATTTGTATCGTTTGCAGCTGTGCAATTTGTACTTAATAAACAAAAAATTTCTTTAGTTGACAAATGGTATATGACATGCTATTTGAAGGAAATAAATTAAATTTGTGTTCTAGCAAAAAGCTGCTTGAAATTTGCACTAAAAGAGAAACCAAGAGTGTTAAAATTCTATCACTTGAATCTTCAGATGACCTACTGCATTGTGTTCAGTGTGTGTTTTTGTATTTAGGTTATGAAACAAGGTCTATCTTAAATACAGTCTCTGCAGTATGGAGGATGTTATGGACATAAGGAAAATTATTAGTATTTTCAAATGACTGTTATTTTTTTGTAGACATTACAGGTGCAACTTTCTTTGCTGCATTCTAAAAATAATGGAGAAATCTGAGGGATACCTGTAGCTAACCAATGCTCAGAAAGTAGCTAATGCTACTGCTTATAAACTTTCAAAAGACAATTAAGCCATGTTTAAAATTTTCTCTCTATATGTAATGCCTAAGGATTGAATAGGAATAGTGTCCAGTTAGATTGAATCAGTTATTCCACTGTCAGACTGGCATGATTTTTAATGTTTGCCGTTTCCCTGTGCAATTTCCTCTTTTAAGTCCCATATTTAGAAATAACTTAGTTCTACATTTGTTTGTGCGTTACGGATTTTCAGCTGTTAAAAGCAAAATGATTTTGTTTGGTTTGTGGTTTAGGGTGATTACCACAGAATAGTAAACATTGTGCCCAAGAAGCCAGGCCTGCTGGAGAGACCTGGGGACGGGAGTTACAGTCGCTATGACGATTACGGTCACGCCGAGTACAGGGACTACAACGCGGGTCGCAGTTTCGCCCACGACCGGAGAAGTGGCCCTCCACACCGAGGTGTACGTAAGGTGATTCTTCTCTCATGTTTATTTTCCCATTAAGCCTTGAGTTGTAGGTAATTAAAATGCTGGAAAGGTCATTATTGTTGCCCCCTGCAACCCAGCCGTTTGAAATTCTGTAATTTCAGGGTGTTGATGGTAATTTATAGTTCGAAGATGAAAAACTTCTTGAAGTCAGGGCATGTATATATGCTTTGGAAACTTCTGTAGTTTGTGTTTTTTATAGCATTGCAAAGTTGCTCTCTTCAGTATTGACACGGGAAAAAATAAAAAGTAAATGGATACAGTGAATAAATTTAGAAGATATTTATTGCAAGGAGTAATATTTTTTTTAACTCATTAAATGCTTTGGTTTTGCAATAAAGTACCATTTGGCGATTAATTGTACTTGACATATGAGATACATGTCATGCAGTTGTTTTGCCTGTTTGTTTTGCAGGATGAATCAGGATACAGATGGTCAAGGGATGATCACTCTACAAGACCTGAATACAGGTATTTTTTGATTCTAGTAGTGCCATCCACAGGCTGCAAATATTTAGGGCATTTTACTTGGTCACCAAAACAGCTAGTAGAGCAGACCAGTGAAATAACAGGGAAAGGACATCTGTTGAAGTAAAAGACAATAGTGGAAAAATGGGTTTTAGTTTTATTGTTTGAATTAGAAATTGAAGAAATTATATGACAGGAAAGTCTATAGTTTAATAAGGATAGGAGGCATCATGATAACATCTTTAGGATGGTAACCTGTAAGTGTAAGTAATTTAATGCATCTCTGATGAGTCACACTTCTTACATGATTTCAGAGAATTCTTTGTTCTATTATTTGATTCTGCAGCTGCAGTACATTGGGGCTACAGTATAATGACGCCTGTGCCATTTTAAAGGTTGGTAGGATAGATAATAGGATTATGAAGTTCACCACAGCTTTCTTCTGAGCTCCCTGTTTTCTCAGCTGAACTGATGAATATATATTTCCATCATATGTAATGTTAATTTCTATGAACCCTCCTTAGTCTGTGCCTTAGGTTCCCATTTATGAAATCTAAGGACTAGTAGTAAATCATAGGGCTGTAATGTACATATGCCTGCAGTGATGTTTGATATGTTTTTTTTGAATTAGCAAAATAAAGTGCACAGGATAGTGTTACACTCAAAATTTATCGACAAGGATGAAAGTCACCTTAAATACTAAAAGAAGAATTGATTGCTAGTATAGGTGAAATATTAGCAGTCTGATCTAAGAATGTCATCTGATGGCTGTGCTTTTATATGCCACATCCTGCATTTCCACTTCTTGAGATATCTATTATACCAGCTTGTATTTGTGGATATTGCATCATGGTGTAAGTCATAATATCATAGAATAACTCCTTGTGACAACATATATTTAAAACTATGGGTATACCATACAAAGATCAACAGAAGTGAAGCAAATTAGCTAGAGACACCTGACCAGTTGGAAAAATTGCTGTTAAACCAGCAGCAAGTTAAAAAAAAAAAAGACTGCAAGCAGGTCAGAAAAAGTTCAGACAGGGTAAGCCTTAGATTTGTGGTGTTGTAAACTCAGTATGTTACTGTTAATAGCAATATCCATACAGGGACACACAGTTGCAGTAGATGTCTATTCCATTGAATAGGATGATTTAGACATAGCATGGATGGATTATTCTATAATCTCACCATAAAGGAAATCCTTCAAATATCACAAGGGTCTTGGTGCAATAGACTTCTTTCAGAATTGCATTCTTGGGGCTAGAAGCAATAATAAAAGGTTTTGAACAGGAGTGCTTAATAAAAATTTGTTTAAAAGTTTTTCCATCCTTTCCTCAAGTTAGACGAATCAGGGTTGTTTAAAGCTGAGGAAAAACACCAGAAAGGCTGAGGAGACCGAGTTAGTGTCAGGCAATTTATTGTACACAGAACAAGAGTGGCACCCAGTGGTCAAAAAGTTTGTCTTAAATGCATCCTTATTTCTTCCTTTCAAAATACGGTAAAAAAAAGTGAGATTAAAATGTCAGCTCATTTTGTTGAAGGCTTTATAAGTGTGTTGTGTGGAATATGATAGTCCCATCTGAATATATGTTATATACTTCAGATTATGGAGCTGTTACACAACTGCAATAATGCTATGGAAGAACTTCACAAAGATCTATGGTTCAAATATATTTGGAATTGAATGAAATCCTACTGATTCATTATATAAATATAGCAAATAATCTTGAAAGTAAAGTCTTGTGATCAGACTGCAAAACATTTGTAGTGTTCTATGTTTGTAATGAACTTAATTATGATTCTTTGCATATTGCCCACCATTGAGCAATGTAGTGGATCTCAAGGAGGAAATCAAAGTACATTTCATGGTGTATGTTGTCTCCTGTGGTGAAAGTGCTAATTACTTTCTATTTCAAAGACATTTGTTCCACAAAATATGGTATTAAAAAAGTTATTTTGTGCAAAAATGCCTTCTCTTTGGATATGCTTAAAATTTTTTTAGTTAAGTTCTTTGGAGTACACATAATTCTTTTCTTTTTTTGAGGAGATAGGAGGATTTTAACCAGAAGGATTTTTAAAAAAAAATGCATGGAGCATGGCTAAAGCATAGTTAGAAGCTACACAGTCAGAAGTCTTGCATTTAATGGGTTTTCATAGTTAGTACAGTGACTTTAAATTCTTAAAAATAATAGCTTATTTATTGACTGAAATAATAGCTTTCTTTTTTCAAAATTGCAATCAGCTGGAAGAAGTAGTTGTCAATATGATAGCATTTCCCTTTGAGTATTCATCATTCACATGTTCCTGTTTTGGTTTTTGAAAACATACCTGTCAAAAGGTACCTTCTCATCTCTTACCCTTTGTATTTTTCTTCCCCCAGTCTTGATTTAGAGAGCTGAAAAACATTAATTGGGATTCTCCTGAAATAAAATGCTGCTTATCTGCAATATCAAATGTCCTTAAGTGAGTCCTGTGTGCAGTTTTGAGCACCACAATGTGAGAAAAATATTGATCTATTAGAAAGTGTCCTAAGGAGGGTAACAAACATCACGAAGGGCTTTGAGGAGAAGCATTATGTGGGGCAGCTGAGGTGACTTGTTCTGTTCAGCCTGGGGAAGAGGAGACTGAAGGGAGACCTCACTGCAGTTACAGCTTCCTCGTGAGAGGAGGGGCAGGCTCTTACCTCTGCTTTGTGGTGATGAGGGACAGCACTTGAGGGAATGGCCTGAAGCTGAGTCAGGGTAGGTTTGTGTTGGATATCAGGAAAAGGTTTCTCACCCAGAAGGTGCTTGTGCCCTGGAACAGGCTCCCCAGGGAGGTGGTCACAGCACCAGCCTGACAGAGTGCAAGTGTTGGACAGTGCTCTCAGGCACCATAGTGTGGCTCTTGGGGATGTCCTGTACAGGACCAGGAGTTGGTCTTTAGTGATCCTTGTGGGTCCCTTCCAACTCCTTATGTTCTGTTATTCTGTAATTCTCTTTGCTGTTGAAGAAACTAGCAGTTAGGGATTTTTTTCTATTTTTTTCCTATTGTTTTTTCAGTGATATTTTGTTGGGGTTTTTGTAAGCTTCTTGTCTTTTTCTTAGAAGTAGGACCTGCTTGCTTACTTAGCATTTGTAGAGCTGTGACTTCAGCTGTGATGTGTCTAATGACCAGCAGCAGTTCTCCATAAGTCACAACAGGATTGCAGAGGTTCCAGCACTTGGTATACTGTCTTTTTTTTCTTGCCTTCCTCCTTATAGGGTTATGCTCCAGTTTCCAAGCAGCTGTCATTCACATGGCAGACATTATTGTGTCTAGTGCTGTGTGGAGCATTACTATTCCTTCCACATGCTTTCTGAGGGTTGTTAGCCCTGTTTTATGCTATGTTTAGTGAACAGCTGTCATCCTGACCATGACTTTTTTATGGTGAAGATACACATTTTATATGTAAAAAGTAAAGGAATTCAGAGGGTGTGCAGGGCATAGATTTCAAACTGAGTTCTCAGCTCTTTCTCTCCTGTTGTCACCTAAGGAATTCTGAACTCCTGAAACTGATGTGAATTTTGTTTTAGCTTGATTTCAAGTGCCTTTTGATTCAAGTGTGGTTGGCACATACAAAGAATTGTACGTCATAGTTTGGAGGAAACTTTTTGTACACATTAATGTTTTGGTTGCTGATGCTGTGAGAATTGTGAGACTTAGCAATTCAAAGGAGTAGAGATCAATTAAGATGCGACTTCTTTGTACATTTATCTTCTACTGATGTTGATAATTTCTGGAGCTGTGTTAGTGCTTGTCTTCAGTGATATATTGGGCTCATTTATGCAAAACACTAATGCATGTCAGATTTTTTAAAAAAGTTGCAGGGAACCGTGCTGTTATATGTTGAAGAATTCTATTTTGCAGTACTTCCCTATGGGCCTCATGGCAATGGATTTTGCATACAAGTTCATTTTTATAAGGTCAGATGAACTTTTCAGTGTGAAATGCTTTGGAAGATTGTTAGCTGCTGTTCATTTTAGTCATGCCAAATTTTAATCCTTTTGAGTGCACAGAGCATTACTTCATTCTTTTTTTTTTTTTTTTACCAACCAAACTGAGTTTACAAGATGTGAAATATACGAAACTTGGCAAGTAAAGATGGGTAAGACTCATCTTCAAAGAGAAATTACAAAATGACGCACTTGTAAATCCCAGCTACACATGCATTAAATTTGATCCTTAGAATTATCTGAGGCCCAGATTTTTGTAAAATAAGGGTTGCCGTATTTGTGGAATAAGTAAAAAATAGACTCCTGAGGAGCGGCTTACATAGGACATTTTAATATCCCCTCTTCAGCTGTAAATGTGAATAATTTTTCCTTTGCTAATGGAGGAAACTTGTTGCTACTATGTGTGTTGTTTTGTTTATTTCGGGTTAGATTTTTCTCCCATCTTCTAAGTGATATTAGGAAGCATTTTAGTAGTCTAGTCTTTAATTCTAGTGCATTTGTCCATCAAAAACAGATCTGCTTATTTCCTGGAATGCTTAGGAAATACTTTGTAGTAGATGGAAATACTGAAGTAATTTTGGTGCTACAAATGAGAAAAAACTGTCTAGCAAAATATAGAAACTTAATTGTAAGCAGTTTGTGGTCTGTGAACAGTTAAGATCCATCAGTCAGTTCTATATTTTTTTTTGGAAGTGTTCTAAATCAATGGCTTATTGTCTTTTATTTGAAAAAAAAAAAAGGTTTTCTGAACATTAAACTTGCAATTACCACTTTAGGGGGATAAGGCATAATATATCTTGGGTTTTCTAGATGCATGCACCTTCACAGTGAAAATGGGTTTACTGCAGGTCATGGAGTAAATTGGTTGCAAAGTGGGGGATAGAAGCCCAGCAATCTTGGCTTTTTGATATCTGCTTGAACTACTCTTGCATTTAGTGATTAACCCCTTGTCAGTGCACACAGTGGTGACAGGAGGTTGCAGAGTTGTGGTCTGAAGATCATACATTGAGGAGAAAATTCTACTTT